GCGCTGTCCTCACCTGAAGAGTATTATCCTACACCGTGGACATGGTGAACAGAACAGCGCACAAAAGACAAGGACAGCGAAAAGGAGCATGCACAACAAGTTCCTTTTCTCTTTCTTTTGAACAGAACAGCGTACCAATGCACAACATTTTGTGCGTTGTTCTGATCACCATGTTATTATACCAACTCCCCCTGCGGTGAAATAAGGCGGTCTGCACTGAACAGCCTGTGCTCGGTAGACTGACAGGACTGAGCGCTTGGGCGAACTAAAGTCATTGGATCATGGGAAAGTGGCGCCATTGCTTTCACTGCCTGCTAATAGAATACAAACAGAAGCTAACATACAAACGGCCAAGACCTCGCAATGTGATCTGTCTCAGTTAAAATGACAATCGTCATTTCGGTTCTTTAAAATCTTCAAAGCTTCGAAAGGACGTCGTTCTGACCAGGGGCGGATGCAGGAATTTCCTGAGGGGAGGGGGGGGGGGGGGTGTCAGGTGTTGGTCAGCGTACCATATGTTTAGGAACCCCCTCCCCCTCTCCTTCGTTTTACGCCCTAAAATTTACACAAGCAGAAATCAAGAGGGGAGTCAGGACATCCGGACCCCCCCCCCCCCCCCCCCCCCCCCACTAAATCCGCCCCTGGTTCTCACCCAGGCGTACCAAGATCGCTATGAAGCACTATGTACTGAAAGCATTCCTCGCCAATTTTAACGTTCATTGTGTATGCAATCAACTTATCGATCAGGCTTATCTCCCCAGATCTGTTAAACTCCTATTGATATTCCAGCGTATTTTGAGACAAGAAAAGAAGTTTTCAATGCCACCAAGCACCTACCCACCTGTAGTGGCGGTACAAAGATGTCTACTCTTGTTTTACTGGCGCGTGTGGATAACAAAATATAGGTATTCAAGGAACGCCTCTACAAAGCGTGCCGTCAACAGCGAATTTAGATCGTGTCACCGTAGATGAAGATGTGATAGTGATATTTATTTCGGCTCAGAAGAGCTGCGACGCCACAGAAAAACAAGTCGAGCATATCGTGAAGGCCCGCGGCGCCACCATGGCGCTGCGTCCAACGTTGATGAAACGGTATTGCACAGATTAAGTTGCATAAGGAATGGCGATGATGGTTTAAAGTGCGCTTGACAACGTGGCGACATCGTTTGACATCACGTACTTGTACAGGTTCGCTGCTATGCCTAACGTTGATTTGGTTACGACTTGCCCCAACCGCAAATCGAAAAACGCCCGGAAAGGTCTGCGTTTCGTCGTCCTCGGAAGCCGAACACGACTCCGAAACGCTGCTATCGCCCACGTCGCACGTCTGAGTGGCGTCATAGGAAATCATGCCCAGGTCGGCTGTCCGCCGAAGAATGTCAACCTCTAACGGCGCCAGGTCCTCGAGCGCAGAGAACTCCGCCATGATCAAACCTCGAATGACAAAAAAGTTCGGCCGGTGCGGCTACCTTGGGATCACTGCGCGACGGAACGTCGTCCAACGCCATTGGCCCGAGATCGTTTTGATATGCGTGCGATTGCCAATGAGAGTGGTTTTGTTTTAGGATGGATCCGAAGTTTCGCGGCCTTCAATTACATTTTTATTACAAAAATAATCCCCGTATGACTCTACTTTTTGGTTTTTAGGGATACTTAGGGCGTCTAAATTCAGTTGTCATCATCAAAACACGAACTCAAAAACCACTTGAGTGCCCCTTTAAGTTTCTGATTAAATGTTTGCAACAGAACCTAACTGTCGCAGTGGTAGTGAGTATTAATTGTTTAATTTTGCCAATAGGCATGCCAATAGGCATGCCTATTGCTCTCACATCATGCCAACAGGCATGACGTTAGAGCTTGCGTTATAGTAAACGCCGCGATCTGAAGCCGAAGGTCGAACTCTGATGCGAGAGTACGTGCCATTCCCCACGCCTGTCTTGCGCCACCGGGAGCACTAAAGGATTCAACTTTTCTACGCCAATATTTTTGCTAAGTCACTTAGTATGGCGGCGGAACGCCTCATCGATTCTCCTATAGCGCTGAATATCTTCCATTCTTCTTGTACGTAGCGAACGATTTTGGGCTTGCCGTGGGCGAGCCCTCAGCTTGAGGTAGAGGAGGTAAGGATTCCGGCGGGAAAGCGGGACCTGGACCAGGCTCGTGGCGGTGTATAGGGCTTGTGTAGTAACCGTTGTGAGATCGACGTTTAGTACTGAAAGAACGTCTTCGAGGTGCCTGCGATATCGGTCACAATTGACGACTCTGCAGGTTCTATGTGTAGCGCTCGTAGAGCTTGGGGAGGAAATAATGATTGGGATGTGATCACTACCCCACTTGCCATGTTGAGGTTGTCATCGTGCGCTGAGGTTAGGTGTAGCAAAGCAAAGGTCTAGGACACCGTTTAAGATCCCCGGTCTGACAAATGTAGCTGTTTCATCATACAGTGGAATAAGGCCCGGCGTCTTCATTGTGGCCTCAAGAGCAGATCCACGCGTGGTTCTGTGCTCATCTACCCAGGTGTGATTGTGGGCGTTAAAGTCTTTTAGAAATAGTACAACTGCTGAGCAGCGCGGTATAATCTTCGTAATAACGGTAGGGTCCCAGCAGGTTCCCGGACGGACGTACGCAGAAACTATAGTGGTGTCGCAATCCCCTTTATGTATGGTTACAGTGGTGAACTGACTAGCATCGTGACAAATGTCTCTCAAATCTATTTGATGTTGATCCAGTTTTCTTCGGACAAGTATCGTGGCTTTCCGCACATCGTTCTTTGTGTTTTAGTAACTGGCGGTATGACCTGATAAACGACATATGACAAAAGTCAGAGTTTTGTGTATTTATACAAATTTCTTGAAGGGCAAGGACGTCGTATCGGTTGTTTTGTAAATGTAGGTAAATGAGAGTCGTGGCCGTATACCGTTAGTATTTCATTAAAGCACTTTAGGACATTCAACATTTGGGTGCGTCTCCTTGGGTAAATGTTGCGTTGTAGCATTTTGATTTATTCAGCTGTGGGAGCGCTGCCTGAATGAAGCCCCATAGGATGTGTGCCCACGAGGGATCAATGCCATCGAGATAAGCGTATGTCATTACTGCTGTCATTCTGATTAATTTTATCCAGCTTCCCGTAGGTTTCTCTGGAGCTTTCTGGGGTAATCTTTTTTAAGAATCAGCCGTTGATGTTAGCTCAATATTGTTGACACCCGTTGAGTGTTCAGTTTCTTTGGTGGATGCTGTGTTGCACGTCGCCTTTTCAGTGCCCGTGGGAATGTGGACACCGGGTTCTGGCTTACTTGGTGCTGTTGCAGAGTTGTTATTAGCTAGTCTTTTGATAATTTTTTGAGGAAGAGTTTTGAGTGCTACGCCATACCTTAATCCCTTATCCTTAAGGGCTAGGGGTTGCGTGTACTGCACTGGGGCTTCTCCACTTTCCTTGGGGGTGCTGTTGGCGACCCCATTGTGAATGGGCCCTTGTATGGCTCCGCAAGTCTGCTTTACAGTAATTCTGGCAGAGCGGTAGTCAACGGCGTTTCTTTTCGCGTACGCGACGAAATTCTGCTCTTCTCCAGGCTGGAGATGCAGCCTCATGTGCGTTTCCACAGTTGACGCACTTCATTACTGAATTTTAACTTGGTGTTGCTCGTGGTGTTAGCTACAGGATGCGGCTCAGCTCAACGAGAGCACGCTGAAGCGCGGCTTCATGACACTGCAAAATGTCCGAAACTACCACAGTTGCAACACTGAATTTAACGGGGCTTGAATTCCGTCACCCGGTGTTGTACTTGTCTGAGCAGCATAAAACTTGCCAAAGGTGAGGCAAAGGTAAACTGCTGAATGTTAGCTTTACGACACCTGTTGCCCCAGGACGACATACTCTGGCTATGCGGCTCTGGCTATCCTATCACAGGCTTTCCAGAATTCCTGGATCTGACATTTTGGCATCGACATTTTTTGTGACACCAATCGATGTGGGACTCTCGAGATTTTCGTAGGCCTTGACAGAGACACCACAAAGTTCAGGACATCTCAGCAGCGCCATTGTCGTTTGTCCGTTGCGCACATCAACGGCGACGACTTTGAGGCGCTCATTGGGGCGGATCTGAAGGATACACTCTGGGCAAAACTTCTCTAGGGTGTTGGAGAGCCTCAAGCTGCTTAAAGTGGCCAGCTTTGGTTCAGGCTTCGTAGCTGCAAGGATTACTGTGAGTCCCTCACAGACGTTCGGCTGTTTGCGAACTGTTCCCGAACTCGAAGCAGGGTCGAACAATGTTTTGTGTGAGCGCTTACCTTATTGTGCCTTGTTCCACTCTTCAATGTTGATGTTGCTTTCTTTCATAATTTCGACCACGTTCTCGGATAAATTATCTACTGACTCGGACGTCCAGAATGCTGACGCGGTGTCATGAGCATCGTGTTCAGTCGTTCGGCATGCTGTGTTGTCCAGGCGTTACGTGGTCAGTCGACACTTGGTTCGCGATATTGGTGACGGCGCTTTGAATGCTCTGCCGTTGAAGATCGAACGTGGAACCAGTCATCTTGGATGGTGTCTGGAAAAGACCACCCTCACAAGAGGCTGTCCACTGGTGACTTCTCGGACGTCGCCGACAGTTTCGAAGCTTCTTATGTTTGGGGCTTAAAGGTCACAGGTGGCAATGAGCTACCAAAAAGGCTGTCGAATTGACGGAACGAAAGCTTTGCGTCCTTGATGTCAGGCAGTTTTCTCTCCTTCCTGTTGGAAACTTCCGCAACAACCGCACATTTTCAGTTAATCCCGTGCACTGTTTGTCTCCGGTAGTTCGCATACATAGACTATTTTAATCATCTTGACACATGCCTTGTTGACCTTTTTAGTTATGACATTGTGAGAAAAGCGTCGACCATCTGATATAGTGTGTTGTCATCGGGTCGAGTTCTGGGTTTGCTTTCTTGTATTTTACTTTTTCATACTGACATCAGTGTGAGCCATGCACAGGCACAAGGATGTGGAGTGCACACAGTCGCGCATTGTCTACACAATTTATTGGCTGGCCTGCAATGCCTGCTTAAAAGCTTTGGACACGATGTCTCTGGTGGTCTTCCTGACTGCCTTGTTAAAGGCCCTGTTGCCCAGCGTCATGATCTTGTAGCCCGGCACCGAGAAGCTGGACACGCCGTGCAGCTCGACCGAGACACTGCTGAAGTGGCTGAAGGCTAGAGACACGCTGCGCAAGTCGCCCCTGACGTGGCGGAGCCGCCCGGTGAAGGTGCCGTTCCGTCCTTCGACGACCAGGTCTCCGGAGAGCGGGATCTTGCCGTGGGAACGCCAGTTGTAGTAGCCCTTGACCTGCGCAGTGCAGGTAAAAGAAGGCCAAGTTGGAAGCAAATTCCGGATGACGCAAAGCTATTCGTGGCCCGAGAGTCCTATAGGGGTCGCCAGTCTCGACAAATATGGCGGTCGAAAACAGGTCGTGCAGTGACATGTGTCATCTCAACGCCAGGGTTTACAATAGACATCACGATGAAGTCGTGGTTTAAATCGTGGTATAATTCGAACTACTTTTACTATGAAAATCTAAATCAAACCTTTCCAGCAAAAAAACAAAAACACTACAAAAATATATTTTATTTACCCTTCGTTTATCTTTTGATGCTTATTCTATATGCGTTTGTCTTGTGATGAAATCAAATAATCATCAATACAAATTTATATCAGGTGCAACACGAGCAAAAAGCAATGCTAAATTCTGACCATATCGGGTCATTGTGCTTTTTTTTTCTTCCTTCCACTTCGTTTATCAGTTACGTAATATCCCATTTAAAGAAATTCGGAACGTGAAAAAAACCCCAAAAAATCTCAAAACGTAATGTTTTATTGCATAAAAAATCAGAACGCGAATAACAGAAAACAATGTTTAGCGAGCTAAAACAAAAACAAACTTTTTTTGTTACAATATGGGGGGGGGGGGGGGGGGGGGTGATATCGGAAAAAAGTATAATTAAAGTTACTTTAAATGTGCAGTAATTATTTCGCATTGTTGTCAGTAATCGGACGAATTCAGAATCGAATCTACCGTGTTTAATTATAATGTAGTGATAGTCACTATTTTCTGACCATAGTGATTTAAATCGAGTTAATTTATTTAGATGAAAAAAATATGATGTAAATCAAATAAATGTGATTTATTTTAATTTATTTTATAATGATTTCTTAAAATTCTGATCAACGCACAACGCTCGGGCTAGCAAGCAAGGTCATGGCTTCAAAGTGGTTTGGTCTGATTTTTATCCACTACGTTCAAAACTTGCCGCGGTGTTAGTTACTGTTTTTGTAGCGCTCCGATCAAAGTTGCAACCCGCATAATATCTGGTTCACGTGGACTCTCAGGTTGCGTTCAGAACGACGTGGCGAACACGCTGATATCTACAGTAACTGCACGGTCACCGGGACAGTTCTTCGCCCTACACTTCACGAGAAGCGATGCAAGGCGCACCCATTTCTTTAAGTCATTATGAGCCACTGTTTTCCCCTGCGGCCTGAGGATCTGAGGCCAGCAACTTTCAAAAACAGATCTGTAGACTCCAAGACTCTGGGTACACAAGCACACTCCTAATACCGGAAGGAAAAAAAAATAAAAAAAAACCTTGCAAGAAAATATGGCAAAACCCGAGAAAAATGTACGGCCGACAAAAATGAAGCCCCCAAAATCTCTGGTGATGCCATACATCCACGAAATAATGCATCGGCTAAAAAAGATTGCTGGCCGACAAGGCATACAAGTTGTCTGCTCAGCCCACAACAAGGCATATGCCGTGTGCCGTAAGGTGAATCGTAGGACTGACCAAAATAAGAAAACCACCTGCTGACCGCGCACAGAACACCTTACGCTCCATGCGAGAAAAAAATCGTTTACAATATTTCGTTGTCATATGGCACATGCTGTACACAGGGCAAACTGGGCGTTGTATTATTGACGGCACCAGGTTGCATGCAGCTCTTGTGGGTGCACTAACGTCAGCTGGTCACCTTCCGGCGCATTATCGAGTATGCCAATGTGTCTCTGATGTTTCCAACTGAACGTAGAGTGAAAAAAAGACACACACCAGCAGTGTGTGTCTCTTTTTTTCCGCTCCTTCGGTTTTCTCTCTACGTCCAGCTGGAAACTTTCAGAAGCATGTCATACCAACCAGCTCAGCTGCAGGCAGTCATACATGCAAATGTGCTCTCACGTGTTACCATAGTTGACAGTCAAAAAATAAAAAAATAAAACTTGCAAGGGAGATCCTGGAGTATTCAGCCATTGAGGCGAAAAGGAAAGACTGTAAGCGCCGCCTCCATGACGCTATTTTCGAAAGGAAGCGCCCTATGTGAGCAACAAAGTCGGAGAATTTGAAAGTTATCCACCATATATGGGATCGCACCGAAGAAGTTACCCTAGGAAAGCAACGTTTTAATTTATGCGTGTCCATAATAAAGAAGTTTTTCAGTAAATGATTGATAGGCCAGCATTGTGTGTCTCTTTGTTTCCCCCTCCGTTTTTCCATCTTCGTTCAGCTAGAAACAAGCATGTCAAATGAACCAGCACAGCTCCAGGCAAACACAACTCCGCTTTTTCTTCTATTGGTGTTGCTACTGCTACTGTGAAGTCTTTTTTTTTGTTTCGTTCATTTTGCTGGCCCCCCTTTTTTATATTGAACATGGACCTTGGCACTTCGTAGGACCTACTTTTCAATTTGCTGTAGGGTGATTAAAGGTGAACTTGCCCAGTTTTCTTCTTTTTTTTTCTATGGCTAAGGCCTCTATTATTTCTCGTGCGAACCTGTTCTTAGGTTTTTTTTAGGTTGCCTGCATGCTCAGAGTCTCGGTCGTTGAAGCAACGTCCCGTTTGTCAATGTAGCGACGTCCACAGGACAGCGGTATGTTGTAAATCAGTTCTTTTTCGCATGGGACGTACCTTGTCATGTGCTTATTGTTACATGTTTTGTCTTGTTAGCTTGTGCTCCATTGACCTTCCGGCACATTTCATACACCTTCTTAGGTGCCGAGCACACCAATTTCACGTTCCCTCGTATGGGCAACGCAGCGCAGCATAGGACGCTGCAGATTGCCGTCTGCCATACTTAGGTACACTAAGCATGTGCAACCAACTAGCTCAGCTCATACCCTTCGTAAATAAAACTTCACTAGTTTTCAAACGCCGCCATTTCCATAGCAATAAATGGCGCCACTTTTCTCATGATAGAGGGGCTTTAGATTACCATAAAGCCACTCTATTCTGGCAAAAGTGGCGCTACTCATTGTTGTGGAAATGCTTGAGACACGTGTCGCGCGCCACTTCTGGGAAGAACATGGCGTCTAAAGTCTAGCTCAGTGCTGCCCTGTACCGCCATGATCTTCCCAAGGGCTGCACATTGCACGTGCCTCGTGCATCGACGCACCTTGCATTGCTATTAAAACATGAAGGGGCTTTAGGTACCCCGAGAAATGGCTCTTTCATGCTCTGTGCTGCTCTGTGCTACCAGATCCCTCGCGCTCCATATCTGCGACCGGGCTCTCTACGGCTCGGTCGTTGAACTGAGAGGCTTTGTGAGTATAGAGGAGGCTATGGCAATGCGTATCGCGCTCGTGACGTCAATAGTTCATGCAAGGCGGAGGGTACTGTTGTTTCGAGCCTTGCTGCTTGGTGGCGACAACGCGTGACAATCTCGCCCAGTAGTAACAGTCGAGGGCGAGAGCTCGAGGTTGCTGCGTTGAAGCGTTCTTCCGCAGAACGAGCGGATCGAGCTAGAAGTGCATGCCCCAAAGCCAGGAGCGCGGGCTAGCTCGCGCTTGTATCTTTGGCTGCAGTCTCAGCTGATGGGTGGACAGAGTATAGTAAGTGCGTTAGCGTTCTTTGCGAAGTCACATTCAAGACTAAGTAATTCCACGAGCGAGCCATACTGCTGCGAACTAGCGCTGTTTCTTAGGAACATTAGGCTTAACAGCATTCCAACGGAGCTTCACAGACCGCCACTAGACGCAAGTCTGAAATCTGTTCATTTGTTTTAAAATTAGTCTTCCTGACTTCTCTGCCTCCAGCCCAGAAACACTAGTCTAGGCTAGGGTTCCTGGGCTGCCGGCACAACAGAGATCACATCAAAACAAAGAAATAAGCTCAACACATTTAATTTCTGCACCCCTTTAAGGGGGGGAGGGGGGGGGGGGGGGGGGAGGGGACACCTCTAGTTTCCGAGCTACAGCGAGAAAAGGATTCTCAACGAGAGCGTTGTGTTTTGGCACCACGTGATCGGTGACCCGTGCGACAAGACACGGAGATTCGGGGCAACATGGTAAATCGAAGTGAGGCGGCGGCTGGCTCCTGCCTTGGAACTTATAATCATTTCTAAATATTGCAAATATAAATGTAAAGCTTCCAGATTTTTTTAAGAATATCGCGCAAACGCCGACCGGGCGATTGATTAGCGGCTCATACACCTTTCTACAAGGGTGCAGCCATCTTGAATGTCGTCACTTCTGGTAAGCGGTAAAACATCGTTTTTGGTCTCTCCACGCCGCTGCAAGGTGTTTACGAAAAAATGCGTGATTGTCAAACATCCTTGTTTTGCCTCACCTTCATTTTCTCGCATATTCCAAGTTGAAACGTTTTATTATTTTTTCGTTCCGCATACTAGATACAGAAAACGACTGAGAACGACAGGAAACAGAAAACGCGTATTGCGGCGTGTAACAGCAAGTCAGCAAGAATAGGCATGTACCCTCTGCTACACTCGCATAGTTTCGCTGACCAGCTGTTTAACGCCGCAATAAGGCGCTGATCCACCGGCCGGTACACGTTCGGAAGATGTCAAAAAATCTGGAGGCTTTACCTAAAGGGGTAATGCAACGATTTTAGTGCATTTTACAAATACCACGCAAAACAAATCGCTGACGCTAATGACTTCTGAAACACCTGTTCGTTTTTCACCAAACTTAATAAACGTCGCAGAAAAAAAAAATAAGAAAAATGAGAAGCGTCCACTCCCTCAACTCGTAGCCAGAACAAGCGATCCCCACACCTGCGCGTTTCGATTTAAATGAGCATCGTACCGGCGTGCGGTCGTGTATCACTACCGCGTGATGCACGTTAAAGACCCCAGGCTATTGGTTGCAGCTAGTATTTCACTGGCTAAATTTCTCATCTAAAGCTGGGAGACTCGTAACCCGTTGAGGCAGACCAAGTTCTAGGCTGTATAAACAAGCACACAATACAACAAGCGGCCACATGATCTGGAGCCAATTATATGCCGCTAATGCTGATCATAGCCACGCGCTGGGGTTGACAAGGCACAGGACACGCAATACGTTCCAGACATTGTTGACGCACCCCCTACCTTGCGTCGTGCTCTGACTGCGCACGCGCACTCGAGGTGCGCTAGACGCCGGTGCGTCGTCGAGGGTAGAAGGCTCGCGCTGGAGGCGGGACAACTGAAGCTTTCCCTGCCGTCCCCACCTACCGTTCTCACCTCTGAGACTATTGAAAAAACTTGGTGAGTTTTGACATCTAGTCAAGATGCACTATGTTCATCTTGACTAGATTTTGACAGAAAGTCTATAGCTTTTTTATTGACACTGGCTACAGAGAGTCAATTGAACATTTTCAACGCGAAGTAAACAAAACGTGTGCAGTCTTTCTGATGACACTGTCAGCAGGAAATCAGCAGAAAAAAGTCAACGTAAAGTTATCAGAAAGTCGACAGCTTTTCTTTTGACTCAGGCCGAAGAAAATCATCAGAAAAGTTTCAACACAAAATCGACAAACTTTTTGTTGACCATGTCAACAAAAAGTCAAAGTCAAAAGAAAGTAATCAGAGTCAACAGGAGGTCAACACGTTTTCAATACAAAGTCAAAAATCATTTTGTAGGGGACTACCCGAATGCTTCTCGAGCTATCGATTGTCATGTTCCCAAATCGAGTGCTTACGCGATGCTCGGGTCCAATCTATGATCAGCATTCAAATATCGTCACTGGGCAGTACTGCGACCGCCCAACTACGTATTCAAGTTTTGCGAAGGAGAGATTGAATAAAAACGCCCTCTTTTTCTCTTGAATTTACACCGCAACAAAGGAATTTCTTGGCCAGCGGCGTTGCGTGCGAGTATCCTTCAACCTATAATAGTGCCAGTAAGCTCGTGTAAAGTGAAAAATACATTTCATTTGAATATCGTTGCACCGCCCCTTTCAACTCACGAACCAGAAAAATCTTAAAATTTCACAGGAAGATAGTCATTCAAAAAGCATTCTCACCCGTGGGACAACAGCAACAAAATCGGCGATGCTGGTGTTGGCGCCACACACGAACTTGACGTCTCCACTGATGTTGAGGGACCTCAGGCCGAAGAGGTTTCCGGAGGACAGGCTGAAGGCGGGATCCTTGACTTCAAGCAGGGGCAGTTGTTCTTGGACATCGAGGGCGGCAAAGCCCGCCAGGAGCAGTTTCCGTACGTTATTGACGTGCTCTTCGCTGCACGTTCCGTTCGGGACACTCGCATGAGCTGGAACACAAGGAAGGCAAAGGGCCCGCCGTGAACTGAGGAGCGCTGATCTCCGTTTCTGGATAACCTTGGGAAGGGAGAAAACTAATACCCAAATCACACGGCAACGTAAAGGTACCTTCAGCTTAAAGGGATACTGAACCGAAATTTCGAGCTCATTAAACAAGGCCGTGCAAATAGGCGGGAAATTGCAAAACCAAAAAAAAAAAAAAAAAAAAAATCACTCGTACGGCGATATATCTAACGGATCACCGTATTTTTTTGGAAAAGAAGTGCGGCGATTTAGCCCGGCCGGCGAGGCCGACGCGACAAGGCACGTCACGATTCCCATTCTCTCTCCTCCTCGCTACGTCCCGTCAAGCTGGTGAACCGAAGCGAGGAGGAGAGAAGCGAGGCCGCTTCTCCTCATTCTCAAATTCTCCCGGAAGACAGTTACGTCAAAGAACTCGCTTGATCGCGCCCTTCTTTTCCAAAAGTACGGCCATCCGTTTGAGACATCGATGTACGAGTGATGTTTTGGACTTCATAGCGTCTCTTTCAACACTTCTGCAGCCTTACTTTGCGAAATCCAAATTTCGATTCAGTATCTCTTTAAGTCCCTTAGCTGAAGGTACCTGTAGTAAACGGCGTTCTTGATCACACGATAAATGAACGGAACACTTTAAGTTGATATCAATTGCATTCCCTCTAAACCGGGAGAGGAGACGTGATAAAGAATCATTCTTCGAAATCGGCTTGACTCGCAGCTTTTCATTATTGTGTGTGAAATATCACATTTAAAACCAAAAAATTATTTCGCGTCGCATAAAGGTCCCTTTCGCTAAGGAAGGACATGTGTGAAACGGAGCTCATCGAGCTCCCTTTACAGCTACAGGGATGAGCCTCGGACCCACGAACTTAAATATAAATATCACAGATATATAAATATATATATATATATCGTTTAATGCATTATAAGAAATTGAATATATATAAAAAGCAAAATATGAAATGAGTGTGAACACAAAAGTGATGGAATAATTCATTCACGAGGAACGCATACCTCAGCTAGCTGACAGCAGCGGCGGCACGTGGAAAACAATCATCTGCTACGAACCCGAACGCGATGGACTACTGCGAGCTCTTTTTCGAGGTTGCAGACGAGTAACCCGACTCTCCCGCCCAGGACCTTTCATCCTCGTCGTCGTCCATCCCTTTCAATGGCGTGACTGGCGTAACCGCGAAACTCTGACGTGGTTCGTTTTTGCCGGGCACTATTCAGCTATTTCGGTAAGAACTGTGCGAAAAAATGGAGCTGCTAAAGAGAAAAAAGTCGCCCACCTCGCGATGGAAACTAGTAAATTCAGATGATTTAGGGCCAGTGTGGCCACGGGTCGAACATTTGAAAGCAAGACTCGTGCACCCTTAGATCTAGATGAAAAAATAATATTAAAGTGGCGCAAAAGCAAACACAAGTAATATTTAGGTTTTAAATGTTTTATTTCGCACACAATAATCGAAGACCGCGCGTCAAACCGATTTCGAGGAATAGTTTTTTATCACGTGCTCCTCTCACGGTTTAGCAGGAATGCAATCGACATCAACCTAGAGTGCTCCGTTTATTTATCGTGTGATCAAGGACGCCGTTTACTTCAGGAACATTCACTTAAAGGACCTAAGCTAAACGTACCTTTACGCTGCCGTGAAAAAAAAACAAAAAAAAAAAAACGGACTGACGCACGTGAAAGCTCTGCGGCGTGAAACAGCAAGTGAATTTTCACGTGCTCCGATTCAATGCCCTGATCGGCTTGTGAGGGCCTGTCACCATTCATTGTGCAAACGAATAAAGGGGGCGGGACATCAAAGGCTGGACCAGAGCCGTATACTGAGAAAGTTTGGCCAATGGGCGGAGCAAAGGCCACCACCAGCGCCGAATATTACCCCTGTGGTCAGAGCGTAAACTAAAAGTGCGACACAGCTTCGGCCAATCAGCAGACCTCGACGTCACAATATTGAAAACGACATTTAAAGCGTGAATAGAAGCGTTCAATCTCGCATCAGTAATGATCGCAACTATGCAGTTTGTTTTGGTTTGGAACGCCAGTTTGTTTATCCTACCGTTGAATACGGATGTGACGAAAACCTCACATCCACCAAGTTTTCAGTCACCAAGAGTTGCACCTTTTTACTCTAGCGGCGCTAAAACGGCTTAAATTAGTCGAGTCGTATTTTCAGAGCTCACGACCACCCCCAGGGGCTGTTTCGCGCCCTGTGGTTGGCCACGAGATGCTCGCCTTTTCAAACCAATGAATGGCCCAACTCTCCCAATATACGGCTCTGGGCTGGACTCCATGGAGCGAAAAAGGCGACGAATTTCGCACGGGGCCGCGTTCGCTCTGCGGGTGGACGGGCGAAGTTCGTCCAACGTTTTGCTTCTGTGTAGCCTTGTAAACGCCTGCATAGAGGCCCGACATCTCGGTAAGCTTGTCAGCAATGGCGACTCAATAAACCGCTGTCAATAAGCGTACCACGCATGCTTGACGCCGCCATAATTGCAGTTTATAGACCTTTCAAATGTTTACAAAATCACAGTCCAGCGTGCGATCTTCACATCCCAGCACGTGCGTGTTCGTCGCTTCAAAACGCGAGCAAAGCACGCGCCATACGCACGAACAGTCAAAATGGCACCGGCCACACGCTTCATTTTGGAAAGGTCTATAGGAGGCAGACACCAGTTCACGAGACAGGTCGTGCCGCTTCGTGCTCTGCTCGTGCGGAAAGACTATAGGAAGTATTCACTGGCGGCCATAGTTAAGTGCACGACTGCTCAGCACGTGCTGATGGCGAGCTTCCACGGTTCTTTTGCAACGTGCCTTCCACACCCTCAAGATTGCCGGTCTTGGCAGCCTATTGATGTGAGCTCGTTCAGAGCATGCGCTCTAGACATCACCCACAAATACGGCACCCAGTGAATACTCCTTATACTTCTCACGATGCATGGCGGTAGCTGTGGCGCAATGAAAGTGGCTGTGATGTCACTCTACTCTGGCCCGAGTAGAGGCGTCTGTAATCTGATCGTCTCTGGTAGTGTTCGCAGATGTAAACATTGGTCAAAAAGGACCAACCTGACAGTCACGACCACCAAAAAAGTTCAGCGTAATAAACCAAATGCTTCGTTCCGACGGCCCTAATCTACGTAGTCACTACCGAAGAAGGGAATTGTCCTGGTGAGGTGAGGGAGAATTTTATTATTATTGGTATTTATCTTTTCGGTACCCAGAGCGCATGTTGGCATTGCAGTGCCAGGAGTCAGGGCGTGCCATCAAATTCCTACAAACATGAAACATCCTAAGGCGCCTTAAATACACATTGGAGCGTTTGTTTAGCAGATCGTTTTCTCACAGGCCCGATATCGCATTGGGCACGAGCTTCAGTGCATGTTCGGAAGTGCCAGCGCGGGCTCCAGGTACCTGGATCCTTCTTGGAAAAAAAGAAGTCTTCTAAAAACGTCGCCAACTAGCAAAAAAAAAAAAAAAAGTATAACGAAAAATTCTTCTATACTTCGTTTCCCCTTGAAAGTAAAAAAGAGAGAAAGAGAGAGACCAACACGGGGTTTTCCCAGGGCCAAAGTTGAGAGCTGGGATGGATGCTTGGGCGAGTTGGTGAACCATACTTGACGGTGACCCACCGCAGGGAATACCAATCTCAAACCAGACACTCAGGAAGACAAGCACACGCGCTGTGCTTGTCTTCCCGAGTGTCTTCCTGAATTTAGCAGAAAAAATTTCCCGCTAAATTTAGTGGAAACATTTCCCAACTAAATTCAGCGAAAAATTTTCCCTGCTAAATTTAGCTTAAAATTTCCCTGCTAAATTAGAGAAAAAATACCCCGCTAAATTTAGCAAGAAAAGTTCCCCGCTAAATCTAGCAGAAACATTTCCCCGCTAAATTGAGAAAAATTTTTTCCGCTAAATTTATCGGAAAAAATTTTCCACTAAGTTTAGCGGAAAAAATATCTGCCATATTTAGCGGAAAATATACCCGGACCAGGCGGATTTTTTCGGTCGCTCACCAGTCACCTAGCTGTGTTTGGAGATTTATGTTTGTCCCTTGTCCCTCTTGTTCCCCTTCTCCAGGGATTATTTTCATCATTATTGTCCAGCTCGCTTGCCCCTTTGCATTTAATGCATTATAATTATAACATTAAATTGCAAGCTTCACCCTTGTTGGTGTTAGACTGGTGGCAGCTGATAAAACCCGTTTGCTCTACTGACGTCTAACCCCTGGTTAGCTCAGTTGGTAGAGCGCTCCACTTGTAATGGAGAGGTCGCGGGTTCGATACCCGGACCAGGCGATTTTTTTCGGTCGCTCACCAGTCACCTAGCTGTGTTTGGAGATTTATGTTTGTCCCTTGTCCCTCTTGTTCCCCTTCTCCAGGGATTATTTTCATCAATATTCTCCGCTAAATTTAGCGAAAGATTCCCTGCTAAATTTAGTGGGTAATCTTTTTCGTTAAATTTAGCGGAAAAATTCCCCGATATATTTAGCGGAAACAATTTCCCGCTAAATTAAACGAAAAATTTAGCGAAAACTTCCCGCTAAACAGGAGGGGAGCAGGAGAGGAGGAGGGGAGGGTACGGAGGGGGAGCAGGGGCATACCCTCCCCTTTCCGTACCTTCCCTTTCTCCTCCTCAAGGGTTGCGCTCTAATTCGGCGTCACAGGGGATTGCAAACGTCTTTCATTTTTTTTTCTATCTGAAGAGAAAGAATGGAAAAGGTTACACTAGAAGAGAGGTTCTCTCTCCCTACCCCTTTTTGGTCCCCCGAGGCAGAAGCTAAAGAAGACCACAGTCGGCGTTTGGGGGGGGGGGGGGGGGGGGGGGGGGTTACGATTACGATAAGAGAGAGAGTGAGAAAGAAGGAGAGCAAAGAAGTGAGAAAGAGAGAAAAGGGGTACCTCTCCCCCTCCTTCTCCCTCTCGACCCTGATAAAGAGAGAGAAAGGGGATGCCTCCCCTAGAAGGAAAGAAAAGACAAGCTCTCTCTCCTTTTTCCTTCTCCTTGCTGCCACCCGCCTGATGTTAGAGAAAGGGGAATGTGGCCGAGCGGGCGGAGGGCGCACACCGCCCGGACGGCCAGAGCTCTGCTGCGTCCCTTCTGCTCCGTCCGGGACGCCCGGGCTGGAGAGATGGAGTGTACCGAACGAGGATCCCTTCCTTCCGACATGCCCCCTCCCCGTCCGCCAATGAGGAAAGGAGGGGGAGGAAGATCGCTTTAGGGGGAGGGGGAACTCGGGGGACCCGTAGCTTTCTCTCTCTCTCTCTCTTTTTTTACGGAGGGGGATTGTTTTAGCGAAAGGGGGGATGCAAACTCGGGGAGCGGGGGGCGTGAAGCTTCCTCTCTTTTTTTTTACTTTAAGGGGGCTCGCCCCGCCCCCCGCCCCTCTTTATGGGGGTGGGGTGCGGGAACAGAAAGAGAGAGAGAGGGCAGACGTGGGAGAAGGGGAACAAGGGGGACCCAAAAGCCCCTCTCCCTTTCAGCCTCCCTCCTCTCTTCTCGCTTTCTCTTTCGACTCCACGGGCCTTCGATCATTTTCTCTTACGAGCCAAGGGGGAGAGAAACTGTTGATGGCGGCACGGCGAAGAGAAAGAGAGAAAGCACGACCGGGAGCAAAAAAAGTTTCCCTTCCCTCCTGTAGAAATTAAAGGGGGTCGGGCGATGGGCGTTCGGACCGAGAGTTGGGACTGCGAGAAAGAGAGACTCCAGGGGCTCGAAAGAAACTCCGACGAAACGTGGAATGCCGAAAGACAGGCAATCAGGTCGTCTCCCGATGAGCGACTTCCTCCCCCTCCCTCTCTCTTTCTTTCTATTTCTTTCTTTAGAGAAGGGGGAAGGGGAAGGGAGCGAAGCCCTTCCCAGAAAGCACGCGTTAAAGGCACACCGACACAAAAAATCGTATATTTTTTGTTGTTTAAAACGATACAAATTGCGTAGTCATAGACAGGGAAAAAAAAGAAACACAATGCAAAAAGAAATCTTTTTGCGTGCGCTTTTTTATCTTTGGCGTTTTCTCTCTCCCTTCTCACCTCCTCGCTTCATGTTATTTCTGACGTAACCGATTTGGAAATTTAGAAGCTTTGTAAGCAACGTTTCTATAATATCTAATAACGGCATTCGTAAAACATATTTTTTAACGCAAAAGCGAACGCACTACGGCTTTTTTTTTTTCAGTGTATCGAAAATAGGAGTCCGGATTCATATCGCCACCTGCTTTTCCCCCTCCCTCAAAAAAGATGGCGGCGCCGCGGCGCCCCGCACAAGTAACACTGAGGATGATCGGCGAGTGGGGAACCTGAGGAAATGCTCTTTTTTTTTGTGTTCGGCGATCTCTCCGGCTTCGAAAAGCAAATTGTCAAACGGTCGAAACACGCTGGGTTTGGTGTCTGTGTACCGTAGTTTCTGTTGTGACTCCGCCGGGGCAGCCTTGCCCGCAGAACCGGCGCGACGTGTCCCGTCTCGTCACTCACAAAAGTCCACTACGCGTTATCTTCGATCTCCACACCGTTTCAAATAATTTGGGATCGAAGAAAGGGCCCTAAAAGAACTTCGACCGCGAAGGTGAAGCGTCATCTGCTCGCAACGATAGACGTTCTGTGCGACGACGTGTCGAGTCCCTCCTCTTCTTGTCTCCTCTCCAGATTCGGTCGGGGAGAGGGGTAAAAGGGGCACTGACAGGTGAAAATCACGTTTTTTTTTGTTCCGAAATGATGAAAACGAACCCTGGATATTACCCTCAAGATTCGAAACTTAAAAATTGAGTATCTGTATAATAGAAAAAAAAGAAAGAAAAATAATAAACAAATTTAAAAACTGAATTGGGAGTTTTTGCACGACTCGCGCAGGTGCAGTGACGTCAAGAAATGAGTCGTCCTGTAACCCGAGTTTATCTCACGACTCCGAGCCGTCCCAATGGACCTTTTTCCAGTAAGCTCCTGTGCATGCGTACACTCTCGCTGCCGCCATTTTCGCAGGACACCGGGACGCGGTGCCCTGCGAAAATGGCGACAGCAACTTTGTCAGCATCTATGTTTGCGCGTATTTCGTCTTTTTTGACGAATTGTTTTTTAGTATCGGTATTATGCGGTATAAAAAGAACTGAAAACCGATACAGCGGCACGATGCCAATGCGTTTTGACGGGCGGAGTCATGTTTGGCTGCTCTTGCATTGTAGTTCGCAGACAACTCCACAGGCGGCGCTCGGTACTCGAAAAAGGTCCATTCGAAGTGTCGCGTTCACCGGCGTCTCGCGAACAACCGCAGACGCGTGCGCACGAGCGAGCGACGCCTCTGTCCGGGCCGCGTATAAGCAAACCCTAAGCTATCTCGCCCACTCCGAATCTGGAGTGGGCGAGATAGCACTCCAGGCATGCGGCCACGACCTAACCACCTGTTGTTCGTCATCCAGGTCCTGTCATCTTGGGTTCTGCGGCCAGCTGATGACGGTGGATTTACAACGTTCCCCGCTTCGTACAACGGTTGGGATATTATCGACGAAACAGCTTGTTCGGACCACGTCGGGGCCTGCGGATTCCCGTTGGTTCTAACGGCCGCCGGGACATTTCATCTGGCAACGCCGTTCTATGTGCGTGTAGCCCCAGGGTCATCAACATCACCGGAACCTTCCTGCAACGCCCCTTTTGCCAACCTCGTCAGTGGGCGAGATAGCACTCCAGGCATGCGGCCACGACCTAACCACCTGTTGTTCGTCATCCAGGTCCTGTCATCTTGGGTTCTGCGGCCAGCTGATGACGGTGGATTTACAACGTTCCCCGCTTCGTACAACGGTTGGGATATTATCGACGAAACAGCTTGTTCGGACCACGTCGGGGCCTGCGGATTCCCGTTGGTTCTAACGGCCGCCGGGACATTTCATCTGGCAACGCCGTTCTATGTGCGTGTAGCCCCAGGGTCATCAACATCACCGGAACCTTCCTGCAACGCCCCTTTTGCCAACCTCGTCAGTGGGCGAGATAGCACTCCAGGCATGCGGCCACGACCTAACCACCTGTTGTTCGTCATCCAGGTCCTGTCATCTTGGGTTCTGCGGCCAGCTGATGACGGTGGATTTACAACGTTCCCCGCTTCGTACAACGGTTGGGATATTATCGACGAAACAGCATGTTCGGACCACGTCGGGGCCTGCGGATTCCCGTTGGTTCTAACGGCCGCCGGGACATTTCATCTGGCAACGCCGTTCTATGTGCGTGTAGCCCCAGGGTCATCAACATCACCGGAACCTTCCTGCAACGCCCCTTTTGCCAACCTCGTCAGTGGGCGAGATAGCACTC